TATATATATTGTAAACATAGTAGAAGGGTTAATGTATTAATTAATTGACCTAATATTTTATCTCCCTGGAAACAATGTAGAGGTAGATAACTTTTACTAGCAGTGATATGAAATGCATTTCTCCGAATAGCATGCCAGACTTTACCTGTCGAGTAGAAACTTCACAACCAATGCATCAGTGGGAAGTCAGACCAGTGCTTTCAGTGTACGCCACCGCGTGAAAGAATCTCCCAAAAACACTCTAGTCTTGTTTCTTTCTAAGGTCTTTCTCTTCTTCTCATACACTTCATAGACGCTTTTTCTCCTACGATCCTCAGCCATTTTCAAAGAACCGTGGTGAGAAAGGTGAGCTTTAATCACTGATTGAAACCGAAGCTCACCACATTAAAGCTAGACAGCTAGCAGCGGACGAACATGTAGGACCACCTAATGTACAGTAAACATATCACCAGAATGATTGACATTTTGGAGGACCACTTATTTTGGTGATCCACCCGGAAAAGAAAATCCTCCACTATACCTTTAAATGCCTTGGCTGTAGCTACAGGTTACAAAAAACTCATCAGGCCATTTCTGAAACATTCAACTTTTCCTTTTTTTCTCATGGCCACTTCGTGTGTCTAAGGTGAAAAAGGCAGTGGAGGTGTATGAAAGTAAGCAAAGTAAAAAAAAAACGTTTAGTGCTGGAGTTTTAGTTTGCCCAGCTAAATTCTGGAAATTCAATCAGCACTCTTATTTTCTGGAAACCTTCTGTCCTTCCCTTGAGAGGCTCCTGTTATAGCGGGAGTGGTTTGTTTTTTATGATTTTCTATTTGTGTGATGACTCACTCCAGGAGCTCCAAACACTCCTAAATTTGCAATACACTTTGCAGGTGCAACTTCTAACAAGACATTTTAGGTTCTTCAACACAGATTTTCTCCAGTGATGACCAACTGCAGTTTACGTTTTATTGCCTGGCCTCAGGTTTTTCACAGAACACATCTCTTCTGGTTTTCCTAAAAATTGCAAAGGAATTTATTTATTACATTTTTGGCATGTTCAACAGTTTATCATTTATTTTGGTTTCACTTTGTTTTTTTTGTCCTGGTCTTATATCTACTGTCTTATTTTTAAAACTACAGATAATTCTACAATAAAGGATGAAGCTGCAATCCACGATGTTTCTCCACGATCTTCTAGTAAGTTGATTTGAAGTCTTTTCCAAAAATACAATCACTTTTATAAGCCTGCATATATATCAAGATGCAGTTTTAAAAAAAAAAATCCTTCATCGTTTCTAAAGCTCTACCTAGCTGATTAAACGTAACATTTCTCTGCAAGAATTGGCAAGTATAGCATTTAATAGGTGTGTTCAGGCAATCATTTTAGCAATCAATAATTATTCCGATTGGGAGCAGAGGCAATGTGTGTGAGAGATGTGTATTTTCCCTGCTGAAAACTTCTCAATTAGAGAATATAGGATTTCTACCATCCCAAGATAAAAAATATAAATCTTGCAATTAAAAATGTACACAAAGGGTAACATTCTAAACAATTAGGTTTACATGAAAAGCCAGTCTAAGGAGGATTTGTATTTCTTGTTTCTGAAAGGAAAAGTTAAAGTTTGCTGTTTAATCATTACTCCATTGCTCCAAATATTTTTCTTTAAATTGTGGAAAACAGTTTAACATGTATAGCTACATTAACCCAAAATGTCAAAACATCTGACAATGATGAAAGATTGCAATTTGTATTCTAGCTCTCACAGTTTTTACCACATACGTCATGTACAATTTAAAGTATATTAGCTTACAGTCGCTACAGGTGAATGCAGACAGCAGGAAATTCCTGAGGCCCTAGCCTTTGACAGCTTTCTCTTAAGTCGGGCATACACTGTGCGATTTTTTTTCAATCATTGCGCGCAGCTACAGCTCACACTGTACGACGAAACCCTGCAATTTCGTCATACAGTGAGTTCACAGCTCAAGATGTATGTGAAGCACGTACTTTGATGCGATCTACCTGCTCACATAGTACGTCTAAAAACCACGTCGGACTCAGCTACGCAGTGAGATGGAGCTACTCTGACTCGTCTATCTGTAAGCCAAATGAGTAGAAAAGGTATATGAAGCTCACTAGAGTGAAACATGCTGCCTTGGCAATTTGTGCAATTTTGTGATGAAAGCCCTAAAAAGCAAAGGCGACGAAGTATTTGGACAAAGACATGGCTGAGCAAACGTGACTACTACAATCTGTCAATTTTGCAGAAACAACTCCATTTCAGTCACACTCCCGGCCATGCTTCTGTGTTTACTTCTGAGAGGAAGAAGTAAAAGAAGAATGCTTGTTTACGCATGCCCACTGAGCAATTTGCGCACGATGACCTCATGATTCCTGATCGGGAGGTGGTCGTGAGAAGCTGATTGCCTCTCGTTACCCCCTGTATCCTAGACGACGCGTGACGCACGATCAGGCTGAAAGTCGGCCCGATCGGAAAATTCTCGCACGACTGGAAAGTCTCCCCAAAAAGGGCAAAAAAATTGCACAGTGTACGCCCGTCTTTTCGATTTCCACTGCTACCACAGAGTGGTAGCGTAACTAGCTTAGCTCAGGGTTTGCTCCCTTTAGATATGCAGATGCAGCTGGCTGAGATTTAGTTTAGTACAGATAGAGCTTTGATGACTGACAGACAATTACATGAAGCAAGAAGTAGCCAGGTTTAACATATTAAGAACTCAATACCTAAAGAACATTAATTTAAATAGACACCAGGACAGCAGAGGGTTTAGTGGCAGAGGGTTGTGGTAAGTGTGGAAAGGGAATAGCACTATTTGATATGCAAGTGCCAATAAGGGATAAGTAGCCAATTTGATTCTTTGTTTGGTATGGAACAGATGGTGTCCCCTTGGGTAAAAACTGGCTGATAGTAAGGTTTTTAGAGCCAGGACATGATTATATGATAATTTTGTGATTGCGTAGCCCCAAGCAACTGCCTGTGAGCTTTGGAGGGAAAGGTGAGGGAAATCAAACGGACCCAGCTGTCTCAAAGAGTTTTTCACCGTAGGCAGGGTGAAACACTGGTGTGGAGGAGGATGTAAGGATGGTTCAATTGGGGGAACAGAAAATGAATGAGTCACCATGCTGTTCAGAGTTGAGTCAGACTATAATGAGTCTCGGAAATTAATGTCTGAACAAGCTGAATTTATTAACTTATTTGGTACTTCTAATTTTAGTTAAAACTAGCTATGGAGTGGAACTGCTGCATCCTGTGACTCACAGTGGCATCTGCTGCTGTTAGCTCACAACAGTTAAAGTTAACCTTGAAAACCTACCAGCTAACCACTAGAGATAACAGCTGAAGCTAGTTTTACTAAGCTAACCCACTTAACATGCAGAAAATGTTTCCAAAGAATAATTCTCCATGAAGCACTTTCTGGAAAGGACACGCACCCACTCTGATACTGTACGAATCAGTCACTGATTATACAGCTAAAAGTTTTAAAGTTTGTCTGATCTTTAGTTGTTTTAACTGGTCAGGAGCATGAAAGGCTGATAAAGTTTTAAGATTAGCATGCTTAATGTCACCACTAATGCCATGCTTACTGTCCATTATAAAGGTAAAGAAACTGCAGCCAATGGTCTTTAAACAACACACTTAATGTGAACTTGACATGCGTGTTCAAACACCCAGAGGAAATGGCAGCGGTGATGGCCTCAGGTGCTGAAGTAAAGCAGAAGGGTCAGATAAGGAGTAATGAATTGTACCCAAAGTGGTAAAGGTATTGGGCTCGGCCAATAGGGCAACTGGATTGACAATGGAGAAAGGTCTGGGAATGGTGAATGCCTAGGAGATGAGGAACAGTGTCCTCAGCGTGTTCAGCCAATGGATTGGCTGATTTAAAGATAAATTTTACATATGAGAGAACAACTAGTTGTGACAATGGAGGGGAAAAGGAATAGGAAAAGAAAAGGAAAATTTAACATAAGGGCAAGGTTGGAGAGTTAAATGGTAACATAGAACATTGATGTCCCTGTAGCATGGATGGGAGAGGGATTGGGGCATACTGCCAGGCTGGCATACTGCCAGGCTGGCACTTCTTAGGACAGTGCAGAAAGCAGAACTGAAAAAAGCATAAACATGGCTGTCTCTTCATAATCAAAATCAGCCAGATTGAGGAGCATACTATCATATGCACTTTGGCTGGAAAGGTGAGGGTGTAGAGTGGCACTACAGAGCATGGGCACAATCACACAGTTCCATTTCTAATTTTAAGATTTCCATCCAGAAAAATCTGAAGCAAATGTTTCCATCTGCATCTTCCTGTACTGGCCAACTGATTTGTAGGGGTTGCCAGCAGGGTGTAACTCCTGGAAAAAAAGGTCAAGTTTTGTTTGTTTTTTTAATTTTCAGTTCTCTGATCAATTGAGAGAAAATTTTAGTGCAGGAGAACATGGGAAGGGCTGATGGTGCTGTAGCACCTGTGGTTGTACAGAGAAGTAATGATACATTCATGTCTTTACAGTGCATTAATCTCTAATAGGTTAGATTCAAACAGAAAATGTTGCAAATTTAAATCAATTGTACTTTCTATAAGAAAAATAGGTTTGGTAAAGGGTTCTGTATCCTCTACATAATTAACACTGAGTGATTTAAAACTTCTTATAGAGCTCACTTTTTGAACTGAGCTTTAGCATCCTTTAGCATCCTTTAGCATACACCTGAAATAGGGTCGCACAAAAGAGCAGCTATTTCCAATTAAAACATACTTAAGGACAATGAACAAGTTCAAATCACAAAAGTAGAAATGGATCAACTTAGCTGTAATGCATTCAGTGTAAAGTCTTATTCTTGTTTAAGTGTCTGTTATCATCACTGATTTAGAAAATAGCAGCGTTTGAGTCCTGTTTTCTCAGTGACACTATACATCCGTGTGTTCTGTTAGAGTAAACCAGTGTTTATTTGTAATTCAGGAAGGATGGAACTTTTAACTTGAACTCTCGCTGAATACAGTATCCTGTCACCAGCTGAATTATTGTGCATCTCTTACATAAAAAGTTTTGCTTTGTAATGTTTTTTTTTGTTTTTTTTTCTGTTACTAGATGAGCCATGTTTGGGGGATAAATCAATTTTCTGTCAAATGGAAGTTTTGGCCCGTTACTGTTCCATCCCTGGATACTATAAGCTTTGTTGTGAGTCATGCAACAAAAAGGAAAGCTTCGCAACACACGTTCCTGACTCCAGGTCCAAGACTGGGCCAGAGACTTCCACACGGTCTCATTCTGCCTCAGCCAAGAAATTGTGGCTGGCAACCACCACTCAGGGCCTGCCGCAAACCACTAAAGCCATGAGACAACGATTGTTCTCCACCACCCCCGTGCCAAACACGGCTGACACTGCTAAGGTTCTTCCACCAACAGATGCTACTCTGTACCCACACCCCACCAGCGACTCCTTTCCAAATGAAGAGAGGAGAGATTCCCATGCGGATACTCATCTACCTCCAGGGCCACCACAGCCCACACCAGACTTAAGTAGAGGTGTTTTGAAAAGGCACAGTCTTAAGAGTACTTTAGGCCCTGTTGCCATTAGGTCTAAAAAGGACAATTTAGGATCAGAGAGGGACTCGAATCACAGAACCCCATCGGCTCTGCCATGAACAGTGAGCAATGCTGTGAGTGTAAGTGTACTGATCTGAAGAATCAGCTCACTTCTTCTCTCCCTTTGTTTTTTAACATGTTTTTCTCCATGCCAGTGAACCCTAACAAGCCCAGTGGTGGTTACCTCATCAAAACCTCAGAGCAAAACGTGTGTAGCCTCTGCACACACTCTGCCCTCTGGTCATAAAATATGAAGCAGAAGAAAAACAATGTCAAAACAGCGGTGCTGTAAACTAATCAGACTACAGGGCGTGTTCAAAATGTGATGACTGCATAGCTACATTCATGTTTTAATCTGTGCACAGATGTGTAAGCCTCTTTTTTTCAAGTGCTTTAGAACTACTATTGAACTTGGATTGTGAAAATGTTGGTGCATGTGCCCACCATACTTTCATTAGTGTGCCACCAGAATAATTATTAACCTTTTTCAAAAGAGAATTATAAGGATTACACCAAGAGAAATATAATTATCTCATCATGTGCCAATTAATCTTTAAAGTGTGCTTTATTGTTTTTTGGCTGGTTTTCTACTGCTCAGTTTAATCTAATAATTGATTCCCCTAAGGATGCACCATGAAAAGCTTTCTTTTTTGCTTGGCAGCCAATATGGATTTTAACTAATTAAAGTCTCTTTGCTAGGGATGCAATTTAATTATCAATTTTCCTAATAGAATTTGAATATTTACTTGGAGGTCAGATTAGTATGACATCATGCGTCAGTTGATCTAGCCTTAGCTTGGAAACCCTGAGTTTTCAGTTTCATAAAGCTGCAGTTTAATCAACTCTAAGTAGGTTCACTCAGAGTTGAACACTGGCGTATCAATTATGAAACGTCATTATTAGTGGAGTCCTGATTCAAGGAGTCACCATGACTACAGAAAACAGGAGGTGCCTATTTCACCCCACTGGAACTAGTTTTATGCAGAAATGAAAGTAATAAATGGAGAATGCATGTGAAAGACAGAGCAACGGCACTTGATCTGCAAAGGAAGGGTAAATGATGAAGGAGAAGATTGCTTCTTGAGTTGATGCATATGATTATATAAAGTCTTCTAAGTAGAATGTTTTTACATTTATTAAAAATACTCTCCTCTCAGTTGTCCCATTTGTAGATAACTAAAATAAGATTCTCCCTGGTCAAAATCACCTAGTTGGACCTGTAACAATATAGTTTCTAAATTACATTTTTGCCATCGAAAACTGAATTTCATAAAGTACAAAATACAAAATGGGAATTCAATTCGGTTCAGTTTAATTATATATCGCCAATTCACAACACATGTCATCTCAAGGTACTTTACAGTTCAACAGATCATACAGTGATCTGGATGAGCTAAGGATCTAAGGAAAACCAGTTGATTAAACTAACAGATTCTGCAGAGTTTTTCTAGGTGACCAAAAACTTATTTTCCACCATAATTTACAAATAAATTCTGATCATTTTTTTTTTCTCATTTTGTCTGTTATAGTTGAAGTGTACTTACAATGAAATTACAGACCTCTCTCCTTATTCTAAGTAGGGGAACGTGCACAATCAGTCAGTGGCTGACTAGTTAGTTTTTGGCCCCACTGTATATATATATATATATATATATATACTGCTAATAGTAATCATTAGTCGCAGGTCATATTACTGAGAAAACAGATATAAGAAATGGCCAGATGAAGAATAACTGAAAAGGTCAGATTCTGTTTGGTCACTTCCTCGTTTGCATCTTTTAGTTATAGACATGAAAAGGGACGAGTAAGCACAGCAAGAACCAATGGAAGTCATAAAATAAAAACATAATTCTTTATGGGATTCGGAAGGTTTGACAGAAGATTTTTGCACACAAGTAATACATTCCCTTAAGTATTTCTAATCTTACAGTACTCATATGTTTAAATGAAAAAACAGCGAATAAAACATGTGGAGATATTTGTTGCTTGTTGTTGCCGTTGTTCTCCTAATTCTGCACAAACCAGTAATATCTCTACTTGGATAACTAAAGAGTAGAACTATTTTTCTGTCTCACTACAGAAAACAAATATTTTCAAGGCTCTGAAGACACTAAATAACAGTATCTTACACAGGGTTAGAAGACAGTGTCTTTTTGAAAATTTACACTACACTGAAAAAAATAATGCAACCATTTTTGGCATTTACTTAATCATATTTAGTTACTTTAACACAATTGTTTCATGTTAGCAGGGTAGGACATGTAACAAGTCTGTTGCAGTAACTAAATATGATTAAGTAAATGCCAAAAATGGTTGCATTATTTTTTTCAGTGTAATGTCATACCTATCAATTTGTATTATAAAACAGCACATGTGCTCTCATCTAAAGCTAAATGTTAGCCACAATAAAGCTTATGTGAGGTGAAATTTGAGCTTCAATAAGATGATGAAAACACCTTATTTAAGCCAAGAGACAATTTAAAAACAATGGGATAATTATAATGGCTGTAATTTCCGGTGGCATACTATAGATTTTATGGTCTGCACTCCTGGTGCTCTTTTTTATAATTATTAATATTTTACAAGCCTAACTTAATGGTGATTTACTCCTAACTGATGCAAAATCATGACTTTTTTTAAGCCAACCCCAATGTACTGTAGCATGCCTCTGTCTGTCGTCATGGGACTTAATGCTTTAAAGACTAACAAAACAAAAAAGAAAAAAAAAAAACTCTAAAAAGAACATGTTATGATATTTTTGTAACTTCTTCCATTTTCAGATTTTGTACATAGTGTAAATTACAAGTTAGAAATGTTTGGAATTGGAAAGGATAGCCCACGCTACAGGTTTACGGACTGCAGCTGGAAATACTGCTACATGACTCCTGCTCTCTAGTTAACACCTTTACTATGTTTATTGTATAGTTCCTGTATATACATGAATGAGAGCTTTAAGTGTTAATATTTATTGAATTTCTAAGTGGTAAAGTGAAAAAAAGTAAAATTCACTTTGAAAACAAAAAGCAATGTTTTTTTTATTTCACTATGTTCTCTTTTCTCTTTTTTGTATGTATGCAGCTTTGTAAAAGTAAAACCCCTACCTCTTCACAGACAAGAAACAAATGTACTGCAGAATGATACTATCAAGTTCATCCATCTTTTGCCACTTATTTCATCACGGTCGCAGTGAACTGTTCCTAGTGCAAAGGATAAAAGAGAGCCCATAGTAAGAGAAACAGGACTACACTGAAAAACAGTCCGAGCTCCAACATCTATAAACAAAGGTGTTGATAGCTGCAGTCCAGCTGATATTTCTCTCCAGTACGGTTAACAGCAACAACAGACCAGATGAAGCTTCTATGATGAGAAAAAGCAGGATAAGTTAAGCCAAGTTTACACTTTGCAATTTTT